CGATTGCCGCGGCAGAGCCATGCAGCGCGTCGCCGCCGTCGCCCTCTTCGGCCTGACCGCCGCCAACAACGTCGTGAGCCCGTATGCCAAGAAGTGCTTGGACATCGAAACCATGTGTGCAGAGTGCGACGACGCCGCGCCCGTTGACGACCAGAAGAAAGGCTGCGACCGCAAGGGCTGCGACCGCCAGGAGCCGTCCACCATGAAGAAGGGCACCCGCATTCACATGTGGACGTGCCACAACGACGAGAACCATAACTTCGAGCTCATCGGTGGCCGCGCCATGAACAAGGCTGCGGGCCGCACCTCCAAGGACGCCGCGGAGTTGTGCATCGACATCAAGGCCAAGCGCGCGGATTGCGACCCGTCCGCGGACCTCAACGACGCAGCGAAGGGCTGCAACCGCGACGGCTGCAAGCGCCAGACCTGGGACCATATCAAGGCGGACGCCGAGGCCGGCGGCGAGGCGGAGATCCAGCTCTGAAACCTTCCGCAACGACACGTCCAACTCCAGCTCCTTCGGCAACCAGAAGTGGGACCTCTTGGGCAATGGCGCGTGGAAGAACGCGGGCGCCGGCCTGTGCCTGGCGGCCCGCCGCGGCGACGCCGAGTCCGGCGACGACGCCGCCAACGATGCCAAGGTGCACATGCACGGATGCCCCGACGACTCCGCGGACGACCTCGCCGAGTTCGTCTTCGACTTCGAGACCGGCGATCTGGCCGAGCAGTCGGAGGGCGACGCGAGCGGGGGCCGTCTTCGTCGCGCGTTCTCCGTCGGTGCCAAGGCCGTCTCTCGCCCCGGAGGAGACGTCTCCTCCGGGGCGAGCTCCCCGGCGCCGCTGCCGGGCGCGGCCGCCGGCGCGCTGGCTCGCGGCCGCCGCTGCTGCTGCTGCTGCTGCTGCTGCTGCTGCTGCTGCCATCCGCCCCCGCCGCGGCGCCAGCGATAACGAGCTCCCACTCGCGACGGCGGAGCGAGCGCGGCGTCGCGAGTCAGACGTGAGAGTGAGAGGATCACTACGGTTTCTTCGGCGCTCACTGCAGCGCTGACTGGGCGCCCCCCCCTCCGCCGCCGCCCGTTGGAACCGGTTTTGGCCGGCGAGCCCGCCGCCGTTTTGTCGTTGAGCTGCGTTTGCGGTTGCGCCCGCGGGCGGGTTGAAATGCGTCGCGCGGTTGGGATTTGAAAAGTATGGGCAGTCCGCGTCACGCGGCGCGCTCTTTTCGATAGAGTTGCAAATTTGTCCCTGGAGAGTCGCGTCGCACGGCGTGCTCTTCAAGGGACTTCAAAAAGTTGTCCTTCGAGTGGGTCATAGGATTTGCAGTTTCGTTTTACGCGGACAACTCTGAATTTCTTGTTGTTTCGTTTTGAAGTCCCGTCCGTTGTTTTCGTCGTGTATTCTGCGTTATCGTTATGATTATTTGAGTTCCGACGTGTTTGTTATATTCGTTGTGGATTGATTCAACTGGTTACAAAATCTAGCCCGCCACAATAACTCCGCACTGGTTGCGAAATGATTCGCCGCCAATTTTTACGGGGGGCCCAACCGATTTGCATTCGTTGTTTTGCTTCGCCACCGCTTTTTCGATACATCAGTTACTGTTGCAGGTCGGTTTGTCCGCCGCCCGTTTATTTCCCGACATAGAGCCAGAGTGAGAAGGCCGAGCGGTCATTCATTGTCCCTGGGTGCGTGGCGGACGGGAAGATTCGCGGTGAGGATTATGTTTGTTGCGTTGTTGTTGTCGTTGTCGTTGTCGTTGTCGTTGCTGCTGCTGTTGTTGCTGTTGTTGTTGAAGAAGAAGCAGAAGACACATTCATTTCTGATGAATAATTATTGATGATGCCCCCTCACCGGTGCACGCTGTTTTTCTCCATCAGCGCACGCCCCGTGACGCTCGCACCTTGTTTTTCGACAGGGAAAGTCCCCCCGATTACAAAAACAACGGTTCCCGCCAGAGAGTTCTTCCAAATTTACTCAGGACCCCCGCTCCCGCCTGAGATTTCCTCGCA